AGAGTGCTGTGGCATCACGCTCACAGCAACCTCCAACTCCTGGGCTCAAGCGAGTCTCCTGCCTCAGCCTCCCAAGTAGCTGGGACCACAGGCGCCCTCCACAACGCCTGGCCATTTTTTGGTTGCAGCCCTCATTGTTGTTTGGCGGCCCGGGCTGGGGATTCGAACCCGGCACCTTAGGTGTATGTGGCTGGCGCCTTAGCCGCTTGAGCCACAGGTGCCGAGCCACTTAATATTATTCTTTAAAATGACTTCTTGGGCAGTAACTGTGGCTCAGTGGGTAGGGTGCCAGCCCCATATACTGAGAGTGGCAGGTTCAAACCTGGCCCTGGCCAAACTGCAACAACAACAAAAAATAGCTGGGTGTTGTGGTGCACACCTGTAGTCCCAGCTACTCGGGAGGCTGAGGCAAGAGAATCGCCTAAGCCCAGTAGTTGGAGGTTGCTGTGAGCTGTGACACCACAGCACTCTACCGAGGGCAATAAAGTGAGACTGTCTCATAAAATAAATAAATAAATAAATTGACTTCTTATACTTTCAATTTTAAACTAATTTTAGGTAAAGAAAAGCTGCAAAAAATCATCCGAATTCCCTTATCCCTTATGTCTTTCTTACCCACTCTTCCTCTATATAACCAGGTACATGAGATTATCAACAGGAAATTAACACTGGTACTATATATTGCTAACTATGGGCTTAATAAAGTTCACCAATTTTTCTCCTCCTGCTCCCGTGGAGTCCTATCCAGGCTCCCACACTGACCCTGTTCCTCATCTTCCCTGATCTGACGAGCCAGGCACCTTATCTTTCATGTCCTGATTCTATCCCTCCATTTAAGCTTTTACAATATTTGCTGATAATTACAGTCAGGTTATGCAATAATGACAGTATTAGATCCTAATCCATAGGATAATCCATAGATCTATGACTCCATGCCTATATAAATAACTGAATAAATAAATGAACAAGGGAAAAGAAAAATCTCTTCCTCACAGAATCTAGTTAAAGATGCAGATGGAAAGTGCAGAACAGAGTCCCTGACACCAGGGTAATAAATGTTGCAGATAAGATCTACTGATGCACCCTGCAATCAGGGGACCAATGTGTGCCCAGTCTCCACCATCTCCCTCAAGATACTTCTCCACTATCAAGGTGAAGACAGCAAATTTACAATGGAAAAAACCCTGAAGACACAACCAAGAGATAATGTCAACATCTCCAGTAATAAAACATAAGGAAATCATGAACTATTACCTGATAACAATACGAGGATAGAATATAACTGCATTAGGCCAAAAAGACCCTTTTTACTTAAATATATTTCAGGGGAAATCTTATCACTACACTAAATAGAAAGATGGAAAGACAGTATCACTTGTTATAAATAGAAGGCATTTCTAAAAATAAACACAACAGCCGGGTGAGGTGGCCGAGGTCTATAAGCCTCATCCTCCCAAGGGCGCACTGCCTGAGCTCACAAGTTCGACATCAACCTAAGCAAGAGTGAGATTCTGTCACTGAAAACGAGCTGGGTGCTGTGGCAGGCACCTGTAGTTCCAGCTACCTGGGAGGCTGCGGCAAGAGAATCATTTGAACCCAAGAGCTTGAGGTTGCTGCGAGCTAAGATGCCATAGCACTCTACAAAGAGTGACCAAGTGAGACTCTGTCTCAAAACAAACAAAACAAATAAAAGCAAACACAATAAAAAGCACATTATTACATCTTAAGTTAGTTAAAAATACTGAATTGCGTAAATATCTTATAAATTCATTTAGGAAAAGTCCCATCAGAAACTAAGTTCCTGGGGTGGTGCCTGTGGCTCAAAGGAGTAGGGCACTGGCCCCATATGCTGGAGGTGGCGGGTTCATACCCAGCCCCGGCCAAAAACTGCAAATAAAATAAATAAAAATGCACAATGTCCTTGACAATAAAAAAAAAAAGAAAGAAAGAAACTAAGTTCCTCAAAGCAAAAGAAAGTACTTACAATCACAATAAAGGAATATGAGGTGCTATATTGCTTACTTTAAAAAGATGAGACTTTATTAGACAGTTTTGTCTTTTAATTTTGATATTAATCAACACAGAACT